ACATCCACAGGCTATGGAGACCAATGTGCCTATGCAGAGCCACCCTCTTTTAGGTAAGAAACCAACAACTAAACAACTATGACTGAGAAAATGACTGTGTATGAAAATACCAAGGCCATCATCAATGTTACACATCGGGAAATACTAAAAATTATAACTCATAAGTTCCAGGTAGGAAATCATTGAGGTATAGTACTTAAAATTACCTATGTCAGCTGGTCATGTCCTCTGTAACCCCAGCTGCTCAGGAGGAAGGAATAGGAGGATTGTAATCCAAGACCGCAGTCCTCAAAAATCCACAAAAAGTTAGCCTATCTAAAGGACAAGCTGGTCATGGTTTGGGGAACCTTTTCTTTCATCTCCAACCTCTATCAGGCTATATAAGACCCACAAAATCAGTTGGTACATGACAGGGCAGACATACATCTATGCTTCCCTTTGGCCAACTGAGGCCCATCTGTCTACCTGAATTGATAATTTTGTATGGTCCACAAATATTCAAATGACCCTTGTCAGGAAAATATTTCCAATCCCTACTCCCACATACGAGGAGGTGGATATGGAAGATTGAAGCCCAAGACCAGCACAGACAAAAGTTTGAGACCGTATCTGAAAACTGAAACAGTAAAAACAAAAGAGACAGCAAGGTGTCAGATTAGAAGAATCCCCATTTTTGACTCCCTGCATACATGAGAAGAGTCAGGTAACTGGAACCGTATTCCAAAGAGAGAAAGGAAGAGCAGAGAATCAGGAATTACAAGAGTCAGGTGCCAGTGGCTCACAACTATAATCCAGCTACCTGATTTGAGGCTCAAGAATTCAATCCCTAGAGCCTAAAAAAGAAAGAAAGAAAAACGCAAAAAAAAAAAACCCACAGTAGAAAACCTTATCAGAATATAGCAAGCTGAAAATAGTGTCTGGGACCAAAGACAAAGAAGAGGAATTAGATTGAACAATGACAGAAAAATGCTAATAAAATATGAGTAGAACATGCAAGACCACTGGGAAACCATCAAAAGACCAAACCTATGAATCATGAGCATAGAAGACACAACAAACTAAAGGTACAGAAAATGTATTCAACAAAATAATAGTCAAAGACATCACAGAAAAAGAGAAGGTTGTCTAGGTTCTGGAGGTTTTCAGAAAACCAAATAGGCAAGAGGAGAAAACATCCCTAGACACAGCATAATAAAAGCATTAAATATATATAAATGAGTGTCTCAGCGGTAGAGTGCTTACCTTGCCTACATGAAGCCATGGGTTCAATTCCTCAGCACCACATAAGCAGAAAGAGCTGGAAGTGGCGCTGTGGCTCCAGTGGTAGAGCGCTAGCCTTGAGCTGAAGAGCTGAGGGACAGCGCCCTGGCCCAGAGCTCAGGCCCCATGACCGGCAAAAAAAAAAAAAAAAAAGAGAGAGAGAGAGCGAAGCAATAAGCCACCTAAAAAGACAAAGCCTTAACAGATGTTTTCAACAAAAAACTCTAAAAGCATAGGGCATAAAATGTTATGTTCCACACAAATATATTCACAACAAATACCAACAGAATTCTTATACTGAACTGGATAATCTAGAATAAATGCATACATTTTTAGGTGCAGAATTGAGCCATAAGATACACACAACTTAAACAGATCTGTAACAAATAACAAGGTTAAAGCAGTAATAGTCTCCAAACAAAAAAGTGCCCAGGAATGGATGAGTTCATTTACACATTCTGTCAGACCTTAAGAACCAGCACCTTGAGCTATTCTATGTACTAGAAAGGGAAGGAATGTTACTAAACTCATTTTATAAAACCAGCATTACGGTTGCTGAAACTGGATGACACAACAAAATATTATAGGCAATTTCCTTGACAAATGTAGGCACAAAAATTCTTGATAAAATTCTTACAAGTAGAGCTCAACAAGACAAGACAAGTTTTTACATTATGATCAAGTTGGTTTCATTCCAGGGATGCAAGAATGGTTCAACATACACAAACCACGTAACAGATTCAGGACAACATCATATGGTCATCTCAATAGACTTAAAAGAGGTTTTTGAAAAAATTCAACATCCTTTCATGATAAAAAAAATCTAAAATTAGGAATAGAAGGAACATACTGGAACATAATAAAGGCTATGTATAACAAACCTATGGCCAGCATCATACTACGTGTAGAAAAACAAATTATTTCCCTTAAATTCATGAATGAGACAACAATGTTCAATCTTATTCACTATAATACTGGAAATCCTAGCCAGATCAATAAGCAAGAGAAAGAAAGATCCTAATAGGAAAGAAACAAATCAAATTATTCCTGTTTGCAGATTTTATAATCCAACATTTAAAAGACTCTAAAGATTACATCCCAAACTCTTTTATCTTTTATATAATTTTGGTAATGTAGAAGAATAGAAAATCACATACAATTATTGAATAACATTTTTATATATCAATAGTGAACAAGCTGGGAAATAAATTAGGAAAAAATTTATGCGCAACATCCTTATGAATAAACTTAAGATATGAAAGATATCTACAGCAAAACGCATAAGACCTTGAAGAAAGAATACACCAAAAGATGGTGGACTGACATATAACTAATATTGTGAAAATGGTTATACCACAAAACCCAAGTACAAATTCAATGTAATTCCCATTAAAATCTCATTGTCATTCTTCACAGAAATAGAAAATTCAACCCTAAAATTCATATAGAAACATGAAACTCTAAATATCAAAAGTAATCCTAAGCAAAAATAATAATGCTAGAAACATCAAAATATCAGACTTCAAATTATACTACAGGGCCACAATTTTAAAAAAAAGCATAGTATTGGCATAGAAATAGACATGAAACCATTTGGGACATCCTAGAAGATGTAGAAATCCACACAGCTACAGCCATCTGAGTTTTTTTTTTTTTTTACAACAGAGCCAAATTTTGTGTGTGTGTGTGTGAGTGTGTGTGTGCGCGCGCACGAGCACGTGCCTGCATGTGCACCCATGTGTGGGAGAGAGGGGACAAATGGTTCTGGGAAACATTATTATCTTCATGTAGAAAACTGATCTCTATTTCTCACTCTGTACAAAAATTAATTTAAAACAGATAAAGTATATTTTTTCTTTTTTCCCCCTTTTTTTAGTTTTGGCAAGGGTTTACTTTATTATGAGAGGGTTAAAGGAAAGAGAAATGGAAAAGAGAGGAAAAATTTTCCCAGGCAGGAAAAGAGAGTTGAAGACTCAAAAAATGGATCAATTTTCTTATTGTAAGATCAGTGTTAAGAGCATGTGTTTAGCATGACAAAGCCTCGGTTCAATTCCCAGCACTTAATGCCAAACAAGAAAGAAAGAGATTGACTGCCTGACAAACAGACAGACTATAAGGCAGGAAAAGGACACCCAGGAGGAAGAATAAACATCCAAATGATGGAATGCTTAAATCCACCATTTTCTGGAAATAAAAATCATATATTCAGAGAGACTATGAAGATACCGTTTCTGGGTCGCAGTCTACTTTGACATCAGTATATTTGGACCATGCTCTGTATGCAGTGAGGAGCTTTGAATTGGTTTTGAGCAGTTTATTATTTTTTTTAAATTTAAGAAGTGAATAAGTTTGAAGACTGATTAGTAAAAGACTGGAGGAAAGTGGCTACTTTTACTAATGTATGTTTGAGACGAGTATTGTCCTTGAAAAGGAAGATAATGAAAAACAATAATGCACATGAGATGTTCCTTTAAGGAAGAATAGACATTGAAAGTCTCTTCAGAAAGGAAGAGTCTATTGTATCATCTTAGATTGTGTTGATGTATTGCTGGTTTCATTCTACTGTACTTGTAAGATATTCATTCTACTGTAATATTTGCTAACTGTGGGTGACACTATGTCCAAAGGAAATTGTACATGTACATATCCAACCTGTAAAAAGAAATTTACCTTTCCAGAGTTTAATCACAATGCAAATCAATTTTATTTACATAATTATTTTTTACCAGTCTTGGGCTTGAACTTTGGCTTAGGTGCTGTTCCTGAGCCTCTTTGTGCTGAAGGCTAGTCCTGTCTACCACCTGAGCCACAATACCGCTTTGAGCTTTTTCTGAGTAGTTTATAAGAGTAGTTGGTAAAAGTGTCTCATGAACTCTCCTGCCCAGGCTGGCTTCAAACCATGATCCTCAGATCTTAGCCTCCTGAGTAGTTATGAGTTACAGGTGTGAGCCACCGGCACCCAGCTTGAAAATCACTTTTTATCTTACAATTAAATGGCTGGTAAATTTATGCTGAAATTTTCATATTGAAGTAAGTTTTCATATTGAAAATAATTCCGACCCTAGTTCTCTTCTATCCTCGCATTTCATGTCCCCACAAAATGGGAATTTTTCTTGCTAACCAGAACTTTTTAGCCACAAATTGTTAATAATATTTTCCTTATAATTCATTGTATCCCTATCACATAAATATCTCCACTGAATTGTATTCTTTAAAAGAAATAATCAAGGTTGTCATAAACAAATTGACATGGCAAATGAGAAGGCAAATCAAGTATTTGCCAACTTATAGAAGAAATAACAAATTTGTATGTGATAATATCTAAAAGAAGCAAAAGTAAAATTTAAAGAGGCAAGGGAGGCAGAATGAACTGATATCTTTGACAGATGCATATTTTACGGAGTAAATGTTACTTGAGTTGAGGATTAGAGGACAAAAGAAGAGTTCCCTATCTAGGGACTGGTAGGCATTCTAGACAAAGGAAACAGAGTTATGAGAAACTAATAATTCAGTGACTGAAGTTTTAGTTGGATTATCAGGAATATGGAGAGAAAAGTTTGAAACAACAAATGAGGTGCAGATAATAGAGAACTTTAAATCTAGATGCTTTTGACGTAAACGAAAAAGGTATAGGTAGTGTGTGTCCAGGAGGGTTTTGTTTTGTTTTAGTTTTTACTTTTTGGTGGTACTTGGGTTTGAACTTAGAGCTGTGTACTTTCTTTTCTTTCTTTTTCCCCACCTCATGTCTCTTCGTTCACTACAGACCAGGCACAGAGCCTGGGCCAAGGTGTATATGGGGTAAGTTTACTCTGCCCCTTGCTTGATTCAGTGTAAGAATACCACCTGTGGTAAACACCAGAAGGCAACCTCTGCACTTTCCACCTTTTGAGCCATGCCTCTAGTTCTTTTTGGTTTTTTTCTTATTTTTCAAATAGGATCTTGCTTTTTGCCTGTAAGATTCCATCTTTTGTTAACCAGCAAAATGCTAGACGGGAGGCCTGGCTCAAGTGAGAGCAGCAGCTTATAAGCAAGAAAGACAAGCAAAAACTTGAGGCCCTAAGAGGATCAGAGTCCCAGCAGTGCAAAACATAAAAACAACTCTGCCTCTATAGTTTATCTTTACCAACAGTAATAAATAAAATATTTAATTGGAAGTTTAAGAATTAATGAGTCCCTGGGTTCAATCCCCAGCACCCCCCCAAAAAAAAAGGACAGAAAGGAATAGTACGATTTAATATTTTGTTTTCTTCATGTAAGAGGGTCAAAAGTTTTTGCATTTCTTTTTTGTTTTTTGTTTGCATTTCTTAACCCCTGCCTGGCTCACTAGCTATTATAACCAGCTATGTCTGATAATTTGCTCTTGGCTGTATTTGTTCTCAGATTAGCTGCCCAGTCAGTGTCTTTCTCTGGAAGCCTACTATATCCTGTTCTTCCTAATTGAGTTACTGGTGGGGAAACAAACTAGTCATGACTAACTAAGCCTAATTAAGACCTACCTCTCGAGCTGAAATCAGAACTGTACATACCAGGACAGATAAGTAGATTTTTGTGGGTCAATCACGATGTCAGCTATTTTTCATGCTGACCACAACAAAACCAGTGACAGAAAGGAAACCAAGAAGTTGCTTTCAATTGAGAAATATTTAATTTTGTGCTATAACGAGTCCCTGATTTTAAAAAAAATACACCAAATTGAAGATGCATTAAAAAAGTCCTTTTATTTGTATAGTGTCCTACCAGAAGGAAAAAGAAAATCAAATCCTAGATAAATATACCGAAATAGTTTGATTGTACCATTCTAAAATGTGTACTTCTAGGTGATTCTGAAGTCTTGAATGGCCCCACAGTGGTGCATCCATCTGATGACAATGGCCCAATGGTGTTAGACTCTGAATGTCAAGTTCCTGTGCAGAAGGTAAAACATCATGTTTTCACTTGTTATGGTGAAGGGATTTAAAATAAAGTAAGAACTGAAGAAGGTGGGCTGGGAATTTGGCTTAGTGGTAGAGTGCTTGCTTAGCATGCAGGAAGCCCAGGGTTCAGTTCCTCAGTACCACATAGAAAAGGCCAGAAGTAGCACTGTGGCTCAAGTGGTAGAGCATTAGTCTTGAGCTGAAGAGCTCAGGGACAGTGCTGAGGCCCTGAGTTCAAAACCAAGCACTAGCAAAAAGAAAAAAAAAGGGAAAAAAGAAGAAGGTATTTTACGCCTTAACTTGAATAAGATTTCAGATCTCTAAAGCCTAATTTTTTTTAAAAGAAAAAAAACCATATATGATCACCACCACTTTTTTACCTACCCACTACACTCAATCCTTGTGTATGTATATGTTTGGTGCTAGTCTTGTGGCTTGAACTCAGAACCTGGGCACTGTCCCTGAGATTTTATTGCTCAAGGTGAGAGCTCTAACACTTGCGCCACAGCTCCATTTCTGAGTCTGAGGAACTTTCCTGCCTGGGATGGCTTTAACCTATGATCCTCAGGTTTCAGCCTCCTGAGTAGGATTACAGGTAGAAGCCACCAGCACCTGGCCCTGTGCTTACATTTAATTGAAAATTTTATTTTGGTATTTGCCTGCTGTCACAATTTTTTTTACACTGCTAACAATAGAACCTAAGGCCTCGCACATGCTATAAATATGTGTTCCACCATCAAACTTGTCCCCAGCCTCTTATCTCAATTTTTAAAGCATGTCTTTAAAATCATGTTCTAGACTTCAAGTGGGAGATTCCTAATGGAGTCTTAAGTATGTTAATCTTCAGCCTATACACTGCTACCATTCTTTCAATAAATATTCTTGGGATACATCAGATAATATTCTAGTCATTTGAGTTTTAATTCTCACAAACCAAATAAGTTAGGGGTATTATTCTACTTCTTTTTTTGGGGGGGGAGGGTCCGGTCGTGGGGCCTGAACTCTGGGCATGGGTGCTGTCCCTCAGCTCTTCAGCTCAAGGCTAGCGCTCTACCACTTGAGCCACAGTGCCACTTCTGGTTTTTTCTTATGTGGTGCTGAGGAATCGAACCCAGGGCCTCGAGCATGCAAGGCAAGTGCTCTACCACTGAGCCACCTTCCCAGCCCCGGGTATTATTCTACTTCTGTCTGTCTTTTTTCCTTACAAGTACTCAGAAGACAGCTCTCAGCTTTTATACTTAAAATTATCGTTGGGGTATGCTTATGAAATTGAACATTGCACTCTGAGGAACATATTGATTTGGCCCTTGTGCTTTCTAAAGTATCTTTGATTCCCTTCCCCTACCCGCTGCATCCTATGTTGGAGACTGAACCAGGGCCAGCTGCATGCTAGACAAGGGCTCTACCACTCAGCTACATCTTAGCCTATATCTTTGATTTCATATATAATGTTCCATAGTTGTATTAACATTATGTTCCATAGTTGTATTATCATTCAAGACTGTTTAACAAAGGTATTTTGTTATTGATAAAAATGGATCAGTGCCACATTTCGCCTGTTCTAGAAACCAACATTACATTTCTATTTTATTGTTTTTTTGTGTTAACAGAGTTTTAGTCACCCCTTTAGTTTAAAAGAAGAGTTACTGCATTTCTTTTGTAGTTATTGATAGTGGTGGTGGATTTTCTGTGGGGGGTGGGGAGCACAAGGGATTGAGCTCAGTCCTCACACTTGCTAGGCAGGCACCCTACCACTGAGATATTCCTCCAGCCACACTCAATTTCCTAAACCAAACATTTGGTTTCTGATGTACTACAGTATTCCTATTTCTGGATAACAAATCTTGGTAATTTTAACTTGCTCAAAATACAGTTTAATAAGAAGAAGAAAATATCCCAAAAGGAAGAGATTATCACAAAAATAACAACCAGAATATCAGGTATATGACATTTTGTTGAAGCTTGTGCTACAGGTCAAATTGACCTGTACTACTCTACTACTACTACTCTTCTTCTTCTTCTTCTTCATCTTCTTCTTCGTCTTCTTCTTCGTCGTCTTCTTCGTCTTCTTCTTCGTCTTCTTCTTCTCTTTCTCCTTCTCCTTCTCCTTCTCATTCTCCTTCTCATTCTTCTTCTTCAATTTCCAATGCCTAGCACATAGTCATAAGTAAAACATTGGGGTGAACACTTATGAAGAAATGGAATTGTGTAACTTGTTCTATTCATAAAAAATGGCCAAGCCAACTGTTCCCCTTTTGACATCACTTCCCACACTTTTGCACCACCACCATCGACATTTATTTAAAAAGGGCTACGAAGTTTGGGTGCTACAAGCAACCTTTGAGGATTAGTCTTTATGGGTAAACTACAACTGCATATTCCCAAATGAGAGCTGAGAGTAACACAAGATTGCAACAAGTTCCTGACCTCTCACGTTTCTACTTGGAGCACCTGCTGTCTACTTCTGCCTCAAGAAAAGATATCTCTTCTTGTCAAGACAAACTTCTCCATCTCCATTATTTTCTCTTATTCAATAATTTTATTGTGAAGCTCTTCTAACATCTCTCTCTCTCTCTTTTTTTTTTTTTTGGTCGGTCATGGGGCTTGAACTCTGGGCCTAGGCGCTGGGCCTGAGCTCTTCAGCTCAAGGTTAGCGCTCTACCACTTGAGCCACAGCACCTGCTTCCAGCTTTTCTATTTATATAGTGCTGAGGAATCAAACCCAGGTCCTCATGCATGCAAGGCAACCACTCTACCACTGAGCCACCTTCCCAGCCCTCCAACATCTCTTGTAGTCTCTAACCATGATTCTTTGTTATCTCTTTCCCTACTACCTATTTTCAAGCTAAACTGCAATTATCTAGCTGTAGCACTGACATATTAGTGTGGGGAAATCTGTTGGGGGTGGTTCTTGCATTGTAGGACGCTCAACCAGAACCTAATGTTTGAATGCCAGAAATGCCTGCTTTTCTTATGCCAGTGCAACAACAACAACAAAAAATGTGTGTATAGACTGGTTTGCCTGAGAGAAGATGGAAGAATCACCACCAGCTAAGATCCAGTATAATTTTGTCTACCACATACCTATATTCCACTGTGCCTGAAACTTGCCCTTCATGAGGAGCGTGAGTTCTGAAATGCCTGCACTCCTCCTAGCGCCTCAGGAGGGCACAAACCTCTTTGATGGATTACCTACCACAGTGATCTGTTTATGATCTCTATGCAGAGGACTCAGATATATTCTTCTAGACCTGGCCTTTCATGATCTTATCATGCTTGACAACTTTCCCAGACTCCTACAGCCAAGGATTTGTTAAATTTTTTGGGTTTTTACTAAAGATAAATCCTTTCCCTTTTACCCTAGAAACCAGGCCTTATCTCCTTCATTTGAGCTACCTTCACATTCATAATTGGACCTGTAATGACTGGCTTGTGAGCCTCCTTGTTCTAATCCACACACCTTAGCATCTTTATGTTAGTTCTCTCAGTATACAATAGCTTTGTTTAAGATCCCATAAAAGATAGAAGAAAATGTATGACTAATAGATCAATAAGCCCTTCAGTTTCTGTCCCAAAGGAAGAATTGGGGGACATCCTTCCCCTACCTTGCCACAATATTCAAAGACCTTCACCAGTGGTCACCCAGCCATGCTTTTGAAGTCAGTCTTTCCTATGAATTGTCAATAAAATTTACTTTTGCCCCAAACAATGGAACAGGCTAACAGCACAAGCTCCAAGGCTCAACTTGGTCAACTAAAGGATCTTATTTTCCAACAGAGAATTGTAACAAGAAGGCAGTCACTGGTGACTGAAGACAGAGTCAGGGTGCAGTACTCATCTTTGGCCAATTGAGAAACTGTTCTACTTTTTTTTTTTTTTTTTGCCAGTCCTGGAGCTTGAACTCAGGACCTGGAGGCTTGCTGTCTCAATTTTTTTTTTTTTTTTGTCAAGG